AACACAACATTAGAAGCAACACACACAGAAGTTGTGGAAAAACAGCCTGGAAAAACAGATATGCAGTGAAAGGAGCCACAGGGTGAGACCTGAGCTTTGTAAGCACTAAGGGAGAATACAGTGTGCGATTTTTTGAGCACAGCTTTTTGCACACTAGGGCTAGAACAGAAGCTGCCAAATTGTTGAAGAGACATGAGAGCTGACAGTTTCCTAATTGCTAAGTTAGGAAATTGGCACATTTAATCAGGGAAGGTTTCTGAGGTATACAAAAGAAACAACAAGTATTAAAAGACACGTCAAAGTCTTAAGCAAGTTCACAGAAGTGCTGCCGATATCCAAACAGCCATCACTTATTTCAGTAGGTCCCAAGAAAAGCAACAACAGACCTGCCTGAACAACACTAGGAATGTGTCATGTAAGGTCAGGAGACACAAGTGTTATCAGTGATTGATATCACTCATGTGCTCTGCCCTCAAATAGATGTCGACTATAGAATGCCATACTGTTGAAAGCATGGAGATGACAACACGGGAGCAGGAGAGCACGCAGCAGCAGCTTATGAAGAAGCAAATGCGCCTGCAGAGGCACATGGCAAAATTGTGTTCTTGGATACAGAAGCAGATGCAACAGCACAGGAACTGATAAACCAGCTCATCTCTGAGTGAGTTAGAACACAGTCATGATCCTTGCATCTCGCAAAGCTTTTAGCAATAAAGAATGACAAGTCAGTAACACCAAAGAGCAGAACTCGTTCACTGGGGCTACTATTTTTTCTTGGCAGTCTGATAAAAATGAAGGGAGGGCCAGAATATGCCAAAATGATACTACTGTTCACTAACTACTACTACTACTACTAATGGGCTAAGAAATCTAGACCATTTTCCTTCTGCTTTACACATTTTTCTCAGTGAAGCATTCAGCTGAGATAAGCTATTAATTTTACAGACTTTCCATAAGTATAATTTAGTTTAACCAATAGGATGATTTGTCTCTATTTTCTGTGGTGAAAATATTTTACTGTTCCAAACCTCACATGCTTTAGAAAGCTCTGCATCAGATTTCCTTTCTTCTGATATTGGTCATAAAAGTAATTCAGTGCAACTGCTGTAATAAGCCAGCCAGCATTCTGTTTTCAATATTATGTAATCTTCACAGAATTAATGGCTGTAATTAAGGCAACCAATGACTGCCAACAAAAAAAAAATGCACCCATTAATTTAGCAAGGTTGTTTCTTTCACAAGTATCTATCTTTTTTTTAAATTCTAGACTGAATGAATGTTACCTATTTGAAATAATTAAAAGAAAAGCAGAAGTACAGTCAGCTGGGTAGGTGCTGTGCTTCTAGTTTTATCCCTATGTTTACCTTTTCTTTTACACTAATTCTTCTGCAGTGTCTGATAAGCAAAATGTATTAACTGCTCATACATGAATGAGGCTGCTTCCAAAACCCTACTCACTCATTAGAAAGTGCAGAGGAACTTAACAGTATTTGCACATTTCCTTGTTACTATATATATGCATTTTGTAAAAAAAATGATGCAGCTAAATCATTAGCTTCCACTCTAAGTTACTTTGTCTTTCCTGAAAGAAATCTTTGTTCTGTTGCCTGCACAGCTCAAAAATTTTGTAACTCCTGCATTTAGTCAATTTTAGTTATCCAATTAATGAAATTTTTATTATAAATAATATAACCAATAAAGTACTTACATTGTGTAAATATTATGCATGGTAAAGAACTTCTACTGTTTTCCACCACTGAGCCTGTGAAAAGATGTACTAGAAAGAATAGGAAGAGCTTTTGGATAGGAAAATATCGACCAGTTACCAAGAGTGTTGCAATTACGGGTGATCAAATTCCAGTATAATCTCATAATAAAAGAAAGGGGTTTAAAACAGCTACTGTCACATAGAAATCTGACCCTAAAATAGAAAGTACTGGGACAAGTATTCTACAATAACTGTAAGTTAAATCCTAGCTCTATTAAAGCCAAAAGCAAAACTCTGATTTACTCTATCAGATATGAGGTTGGAGAACTTAAGCCCTTTGAAATGGAGTGACATTAAATACTACCATACATTTTGCAATAATACTACATGCCCATAATACAGGATTATTGATGTTTGTGTAAGGCTTTCACAGCCTTGGAGGCATCTGCTATAGGAAGTCAAAAGAAAAATCGCCTGGGTTTTTCATTCAGAGCAAGCAACAGGAATCTCATAAGAAATAAAAATACTTTTCTCTTACCTTTCAAGTACTTTCATCTGTCTGATTCAGAGCCCTTCTGATGCAGCCACCACTTGCAAAGGTAATTTGAACAAGCTGGAAGGTCACCAGATCCTCTCCTCTTCCCACTCCAGCTGGAAACCAATAGTACTCCCTGCAGGGAATTTAAGTCCCCATTGACCAGAGGAAAGGAACCAATAGAGACCTTGGGGTGTTTCCCTCCCACAAACCACCTAAGGAGCAGGCTGGCCCTGGGAGCAATTGCCCTAGTCAGTATCAGTCTTTCTCACTAGCACGAAAAATCATCTACTTATTTTATGCTCTGTTTCTACTTAAAAGCCAGAAAGCCTTTCTGGCCCTGCAAATCTGGCTGCAAACATTCCAGAATTATCACTGACGCCCACATATTGACAAGCACATTTGTAGTACTAATGATGTGAAATTCAGCTGGAGTAACACAGAAAGTTAAAATAAAACACCTTAAAAACCAGCAGTAAACACAACACTGCACTTATCCAGTGCAATACTTACAAAAAGGAAACCAAACACACAAAAAAAACAAACAAAAAAAACCCCAAACAAAACAAAAAAAACCCTAACCTTGAAAGCTTAAATTACATTTTGTAGGCATTGTTAAAGTACCTGCATGATTGTTTTAACCATGTGCATTGCTGAGCTCAGTTTTCAGCTAACAAACTCTCTCAGATTCTTCCCATCTGCTTTGCTTTACCGCAACCTCACAGCTGTGCTGAGAGAGCTGAAGATGGTAGCAGCCTGTAACAGGGGGTTGAAGTTGAATAGAGTGTACTTACAGTGCTGAGCACGGCAAATACCACAAACTCACACTGGGGCTCCAAGCTTTCTCACTTAGTTTGCATTTTGTAAAGCTGCAGGTACCAAACACTCTTATCCTAGGCAACCCCATTACAGAAAGGGAAAGGTAGTGCTGCAAAGCAGCACAACTGGTCTCACCTCCACAGCTGGGAAAGTGCTGGTGACACAGGTGATGCCGTTGAGCAAGGCAGAGATTCAGCCCCAGCTGAAGAAATAGTTCTCCTTCCCATACTCTTTAGTTCCTCACTCAGCTGGATCACCTAACAAACACAGGGAGACCAAGGGGAAGTGGAGCAAAATATTGCAGGAAAAAAATGCACACTCTAACATGCAAATCACCTTTGATCATATCTGGCTCTCTGCTTTATTTGCCCTGCTAATTCCAGATTGCTGGAAAGCTGAAAAAATAGCAAGTTATAGATCATAACATCAGGAAATTGAAATTCTCTCCTGGCAATCACCAGAAATCTTCCAAGCCAGTCATGCATCAACGCACAATATCACCAGGAAGCATGGCTACAAACAGCCTGAGTTTTGAACTGGATGCTCACAGGATTGCAGCCCACAGACTGAGACTTGGCTGTTGCTGCAGTTTCTCTCATGCAAGTTTAAAAGCAGTCTTTCAGCTTCTCAGAGTATGAAGAGAGCACAGAGAGATGGGAAACAAGGCCAGTGACAAGCATCTCACCTCTCTGGGGCTCATGAGACCCATCCAAAGCAAGAAAATCTGAATGTAGCTATCCCTCTATGCCTGTTTAATGCTCTGTGTAACAGGTATTAGTGGTTTCAGCCTGGCACATCCACAGAACAAAAACCATCAGAACAGCTAACACCTGGGTTGGCAAGGCAGCCAGAAACTGAAGAGGCTCTGGAGAATTAACCACTTCATCAACACCAAAAATGGCTTCTTTGCACTGATCACCATCACCTGCCCCAACAGCCTATGTGGGTAAGTTATTGTGGAACCTGTTGCTGCTGACTCCAGCATGGATAACAAAATTTGACTGCATTAGCCTGCCAGTCTGGCTCCTTCTTCCAGATTACACCTGTATACCTCAGAACCAGTATAATATACCAGGCATTGAAGTAAAATGCCAGGCACACAGACAAAAAGCAGCATGAGAAACTGAGAGAGAATCCAGCTTCTTGCTGGACTTTTGGGGTGTAGGTAACAAGGTGACATGAACAGAAAATGTAATTGAAATTATTTGTTCAACAGATAAAACTTAATGGATGTTCTCCCTGAAAGCAGGACATAGACTTATTTGAAACACTGCCTGAGTGGAGTCCTAGTTGGTAAAACAGGAAAGTTTCAGGGCAGCTTAGAGCAACTGAAGAATTTTCCACAGTTTTCACTGTTCAGCATTGATTATTCAGTGGTGTTTTTAAATGCTAAAACTTACCCAAAATTCATGAGTTGAAAAAAATGCAGAAAGCTGATATAAATTTAGGAATAGTGCTAGGTGATAAGCAAGCAAAGAAACTGTTAAGAAACAAAACTAAGGCCACATTGAAGAAGACAGCTGGCAGATAACCTCATACACAGCAGGATAAATGTGCTTTTCTGGGCGGGGACCCCAGAATGCGGTGTGATGCCTCTGCATTACATTTTCCGGGTGGGACTCTTTTCCCTGTCATTTTTACTGACTTTCCTCTCCAGCCTAGGACCCGTATCCTGAGGTTTCTGCGGAAGTCGCCAGCTCCCTCTAATGACGAGGCTTGTCATCAGCACTGGGGTACGCAACACTGCCCTCTAACGGGGTTTGGATTCTCCCACCCGCAAAGGCACCGGAAATAGAGTCACTGCACAAGGGCGATCGCGGAGACCAAAGCCCAGCCCGGCGGGGCAGGTACCGCTACGCGCCCGCAGGGGGCGCACCGAGAGCCCTGGACCCCTCACCGGCAGCCCTACCCACCCGCCTCACCGCCGCGGTGTCTCAGCGCATGCGCGACCCCGCTGCCGCTCTCCGAGAAGATGGCGGCGTCCTCGCTGTGCTGGGTGCTGCGGGCCGCTCGGCAGGTCAGAACGGGTCACTCCCGGCCCTGCTCCCCTTCGCGACCGCGGCCGGGACGGCGAGCGGGCAGGGACGGCGAGGGGCTGCGGGGGACTGCGGGTCTTGTTAGACCGGCGGGAACAACGCGGGTGTGGGTGCAGCTGCGGGTTATTCGTGCCCCGGGTGTCATGAATTCCTTGCTGGCTTCTGTGAGCTGAGCGGGATCACACGTTACACTTAGTGGGCAGGAGCAAGGAATTAGTTTGAAGAAATCTGACAAAGAGACGTTTGTGGAAACAATTCATACTTGGGTCGGGCAAAGTGTGCGGCAGGCGGGTGTTATTGCAGGCTTCATTCTTTTAATCAGGTTCTCCCCCCGCCCTGCACTAGCCAAGTGCGCAGCTACTACGTGGACTGGAGGATGCTGCGGGATGTCAAGAGAAGGAAGCTGGCGTACGAGTACGCGGACGAGAGGCTGCGGATCAACGCCATCCGGAAGAACACCCTCCTCCCCAAGGAGCTGCAGGTACCGCGCAGCCCCCCCGGGCCTTGCTGTGGCGGCCGCGTTACAGACCCGAGAGGCCGTGCCAGGTCACGGACGTTTGCTATTCCCAGTCACTGGCCCAGGACCATGTCACATTGCATAGCTGCCGCTAGCACCCAGCGTCTGCAGAACCTTTTGGGAGTGTTTACAACAGGGTATTCGCCTGACTAGCGGCTGTGTGTGTTTTGGGTTGCTGGTTTGGGTTTTTTAAACCAGTGCTTCTCTTGTAAGCAGTATATGTAACACTACATGTGATGAAGTATCTTCCTTCCCCCTCCCCCAGCTGCACTACCATGCATTCAGAAAGCTGTTTTCCTTATTTCTGCTAATACGGGATATTATATGATTACTTGTAGAACTTCCCAAATAAACATTTTTTTTTTCTTTAAAATCCTAGGAGCCTGATCCAGTCAAAAGCACCAGTTTGTTCAATTAGAAGTACTTAATTTTATTTCTTGCCTGAGCTACAAGCATGCAAGAGCTGCATCAGATTTGGGCACTAGAGCTGTTCTTAAAAATGCACCTACTCGCCCAGCTCACAGCCTTCCTTACTAATCATTAAAAACATTTGTATCAGAAATATTCCTGTACATATTTGATCTGGTCATACCTAATTGTGGGGAGGTCCTTACGTGCTTAAACATCCTTGGAGAGAAAGTATATGGATCTGCTTTTATATATTGACTTTACTATTGTCTTGGCAAGCCTAGTCTATGTGGATGTCCTTACAGAACAAAACCAGATTGCAGCTGGCCTTGCTTTTGCTATTCCTCAGCTGCTTTTGTCACGATTTGAAGTCACTAAGTTATAGCAGCAGCTAGAAGACTCCAGGAAAGTAACTTCTATCTCCCCTACAAAAAGTCATTTAGGCTCCATACTTAAAGACTTTAAAAGTAAGTAATGAGTTTTCTCTGAAAGCAGAGGTTACTTTCTGAAAAAAAAAAAAAAAAAATCCTAGGAATTACATAGGTAGATAAAGTACTGCAAATGTTTGGCTGTACTAGGGGCACATAAAATTAGACCTATATACATAGGTAAGATACACAACTGGATAAAACCAGTAACTGAAATATGTTCTGAAGACAAGCAGTCCTCCTGACCTTGCTGTTATTAAAGTTGAAAGTCATGATGCTGCCCTTTGAAGGCAAACATCCTTTTGGAAGACAGCCCTTACGCTTGCTTTTCTCCTGGAGTATAATAGGAGTGTTTGTAGTCGAGCCTCAGGCCTTCCTTTTACTTCCCACTGTGACTGAACATGGGCTTCTTTGAGCCCTTCTGTCCTTCAGAAAATAGCATATTAAGAATGCTGCAGTTAGGGATGCATATCCAGCCTCAAGCAACTTCATTTAGGCTACATTTCCTTGCTGAGCTCACCTTTTCTGACGTTGCTGCTACATGGTGTTTCCTGAAAACTGGTGAGCTCTTCAGTTATATGTAGAAAGACCTATCTTAAGCCTTCTCATTAGAAGAGACAGGAAGGGTCAAAGGGAGACAAGTGTCTGAGAGACACCTGGATTTGTCCTCCTCTGGCTGCAACTCTTGGTGTCAGTAAAAGGGATCTTGTATATATCAAAGCATGTTACCTAAGAAGGCAATTAATAAGCAACGTGTATTTAAATACAGCCCATATTAAAGGATTAGCCCACCATGCAATAAGGAGAAAGCCAAGTGGATTTTGACTAACTATAATCACTGGCTTCAGGCTGTTCGGTTTGTGTAATAAAGTTAACTTTGGGGTCTCTTTGTGAATCATGTTACATTTGCCCCTAGGATGCCCAGAAAGAAGGGGTGAAGGCAGGTAAGCATACTCATGAGGTAGTAGAGCAGCTTGTGGCAGTACCTACTCTACAGCTAGATTTTGAGGTCTGACAATAAGCCCCCTCAAACTCTTGGTAAATACAGGTAACTGTGTGGTGTGGTCTTCTGTTTTAGGAAGTGGCTGATAAAGAGATTGCTGACCTGCCCCGGGACAGCTGCCCTTCGAGGATCCACAATAGGTGTGTCCTGACATCCCGCCCTCGGGGGGTGAAGCGGCGCTGGAGGCTCAGCAGAATAGTTTTCCGCCACTTTGCTGACCATGGTGAGATGTCTGGGATACAGAGGGCCATGTGGTAGATCACCGCATGGATATGCATTCAGGCTGAAAACACAAAGCAAGTTCAGTCTGTGTTTGAGTTAGTTAAAGCAAGACTGTCCTGTCCAAGAGCCCAGCACCAGTATCAAACTGATAAAGGCAGGATGAAAAGCCATGCTGATGCCTTAAACTCACTGGATTGCAGCTGGTATGAGTTGACAAAAAACAGTATAACCACATTAAACTTGTCTGTATGAGGCAGTTTTATTGGGGGGGGGGGGAAGAAAAATCACTACCAGAGGGCTGCAAAACTAAGCTGAGGTTTGTGATAAGGGCAACATTAGAAATAAAGACATACAGCACAAGGCTTGTTTAAGCAGTTGTTTTGTCACTGTACGGTAAATTCACCATGGTAATTTGGGTAAAAGCATAAATGGAATTGCCCAACAGGGCAAAGTGGTATTCCGAACAAGGGTGAGCACAAACTCAAACAAAACATGGCCTCAAATTAGATACTCTTGCTATGCAAAAATATATGTATAATAACAAGCAGACCAAGTGGATAACAGACCCATTAGAAACTACAACATGCTAGCATTTATCTCCTGCTTGTAGTGCACCACTTAGTCCAGTGCTTTAAGAATAAGATTGCAAATCCTAGTCCAGACAATAATAGGAGAGTAATGGCTTCCTTAATTCATAAGGTAACATCAAACAGATCTGTCCTTGGGAGACACATGAGAAGGATGCAGGAAGGAAACAATAAGAACAAGCCTGCTGCTAAGCTCATGTTTGCCCTGTACTCTTCTTCAAAGCAGGGCAATGAAGGGGAAATGGCTGCTCTGTCCCCCTCCCTCACACTGGGGCTGAGAGGCTGCAGTGAACAGGCCAAGTACACCTGTACTACAAGCAGATGGAAGGCACACGTGCAGCAAACTGACAGCAGCCCATCAGCCCTAGTGGAGTCAGATTTGGGAGTGTAAGCTATCTCAATATATTTACTACTCCATTACCTTAAAATACTTGAAATTTTATAGGATAAAGTGTAGCTTGTCTCTCTTGTCCTCATATATCACTAAAGCCAGGGCAAGCTCAGTGGCCAGCATCAGCTGCTTACTGCTCTCCTGTGACTGATGCCACTTCAAAGACCCCTCAAGGAGGCCAACAACATAGGCACCCACTGAAGAGCTGTTCTTTAAAAATTCACAAGAGGTTAAACAGCAGTCATTAATTTCTGAGAGTAATTTTAATGTCACAGGATTAACACCGTATTGTTTCTGCTTAACTGTCAAGTGTTTGAGACAGTGGTTCTACTTTTCTTCAGCATCTCTCCCTTTGTGATGTGGTTTACAGTTCAACATACACACTACATCTCATTAAAAAAAACAAAAACAACCCACACTTTTACATTCTGTTCTGTTTCACCACTCTCCACTCATCTGAGAGGCTTTTTCAAGGAAGTGTAAGAATATACCTATGCTCCACTCTTCAGGAAATGGTGAACCACTTGACTGAAGGAAATGCTTTATAAGCTATTTTATTTAAGTATTTTCTCCAACCTGAAATGGAAAATGACTGTCTTTGCTTGGAAGAAGGTTGTATAAACAATGATCTTTGCAGCATAGCATGTCTCACATGGAAGATCAGTGATTAAGGCGGCCCTTAGAGTATTTTCAAATATCCATTGGCATGTCCCCTTTGGATTGTTTTTCTCTGCTTTCAACCCAGGCCTTGTTGATGGTGCGCTTCATTTCATCATCCCCTTCTGCATACATCTTTTTTAAAAGGTTCATAAGCCCTTCACTAGGGTCTGAGGTGTCATAGGCAGCCTTCCTGCAAGACAAACACATACAAGAAGATCACATATACCTAACAATTCTGTGCAAAAAAATTAAACACTAGCATTTGTTTGAAACATCCCGGTAACAGCAAGGATTTTCCTCTGGCAAACTGTTCAGAACCTGACAGTCTCAGTCAGCTTCCAAGTAGGGAGAATCCTAAAGAGTACCCTTAAATTACATGCAAGTTGAGAAGTATACCTAGAGCTGTCCCACTAAGGATGATGGGAAGCATTTTGCAGTAAACATGACCCTGGAAGCACCACCCTAAATTAATTTTAGGAAGTAGGAGTAGAATGCAACAGACACATAAAGACCAATATCTGTCTGTGGTGTTATGTGACAAGGGAACAAAAATAGAATTGTGACCACATTCACAGCCCAGAAGGCATTTTCCACTTCCCGTTTTTCAGATTATCTCCAGAGGTTCACTGTCTCATTTTTAACACATTGCATTTCAAAGGAACTTTCTCAAGAAGCCAGCTTACAGTGTCACCCACATGGTAAGCACCTGGGTATGACATGCCCCTTATCATAAGCCTATGCTCCCTCTGGCAAACTTGCCTGTCTCTATCCTGTTTTCTAAAGTCCCATAAGCAGTTACTAGTGCAGCTGCAGGCTATGTGAAAAACATGCAGATCAAAATAGGTCAGCAGAGGGAGCGAGCTCCCCAAACCAGTCTTGGAAGCATTTCTGAAGCCACTTATTTACCATGCTCCAAATCCCCAGTGCTGAACAGGGTGGCAATACTGATCATGACAGGCTGGGTAGTGTGGAGGACTTCTCTGCACAAGATACAGGTTTAACAAAATGAGCCTGTCCCTCCAACAACCTGCATTAGTATTCAAGTTACCATCTCTTAATCTCCAGTGATGTCTGTCAAGAGGGGAAGGTAGTTTTGCTCTAAATTCATGTATGGTTAGTTAGGACTCATCAGTTTTAGCCAATCATTCTATAAACAGATATAAAATTAATAGACATTGGCAGGCATAACTTTCTTGAAAGTCAATTTTTCCATGTTGCTTCTGATAAGAAAATGTGTGTGGTATTGTGAAAAAAACACAACAAAACCAAAACCAAAAAACCAAGAAACAATACAGAATTGTTACATGATACACTACTTATATAGACGCACACACACACACACATATATATATATAACCATCTTTTGTCCTCAGGTGTTTCGTGCCATAATTTACCATGCTTATACATCCAGTATCTAAGCTGCTTGTAGGGCTGCCCCCAAGCATTTGAAGTGATACAAATTAGCTTGAGACTTTGTGTAATGACCTAGGTAAGCAGAAGCCTGTTTTGTCAAAAGTACGCTGGGATTTTTTGTGCAGGCGCTTCACACACAGGTGGCAAAATAGTAATTATTTCGACCAGCAGCTGAAAGTATTATATCTGCATTTCTATACCATATGCACTTAACCTAAAAAAAGTCAACCTCACTAGAGCATTTTTGCAATGAATGCAGCCATCAAATAAGAGAATTTTTAATTGGTCGATTAACATTCTGCAGGTCTATCTTGGGTACTTCCTGTGATGCAGACTTCATCATTAGCAATAAAACAGTAGAAAAGTGGCAAGCAGCTACTGAAAGTGTATCTCCTGCACTTACAGTCCTACTGATAGCAAGAAAATCTCAACTTAATGATTCTCAAGCATCTCAGGGGCTTGTCCCCCAAAACAGCAATTTTCACTACCTGACTGCAGTGTCAGTGTAGCACAGATCTGCTCTCCTGGCAGTCCCCAAACAAGTCGGAGAACAAGAGATGGAAAACAAGATGGAGGGTTGAAAAGACACTTACTCTTTCTCTTTGCTTTCTTTTTCCACTTGAGTGAGACATTCCCATTTTTCCTCCCGCTTCTTCCTACACATCACAAGGACCATGTCTGTCTTTATCTGCATGGTGAAGAGCAAGACATGAATTCAGAATGCTAGTCGCAACCACAATGAATAAAGTTAGTTTAGAGCATAAACCTTTCCATCTTCGTAGATTTCTGAAGCATTTACCTCAGCTATCGTTATGTAGCACGTAGGAAATTATAGCATGCACTGAGCTTTGAGGTGTAAAGTATTAACCTCACTGTAGACACTTTAAATGCCATGATTAATATACTACTAGTACAGAACTATAGTACCAATACAGAAGAACATTATAGTGCTGCAGAAACACCATTTAGTGATTCTCAGGATGCTAAAAGTACCCAGGACTGTCAGGTAAAGGACAGCTATATTTACTAGACTTCTCTAAGAATACCAAGTTCAGGTAGAGACTCCCCCAGTTTATTTCTCCAAGGATAAGAAATTAGTTTTAGGGCATTGCTTAATCTTGCAGTATGCTTGCCAGTTACAAGCAAAGCCTGTTTAATTGCAACCCTAACCTAAATTTCACAAATAACTCCTGCATGCCACAGTGGACAAGAATCTGCCAGACCTTTAGTTTAGTTTAGCAAGTATGTGACTACTGCTCAATTCTATGCCAAAAAAGAAAATAAAATACCAGAGCATCACTCATTTATTTGTTTTAATTTCACACTGTCCTAGTTTTAGGGCAATTTCCAACTGAACCATAATTTCTTCACAACTGATGTCTCTAACTGCAGCACACAACTGTGCAGAACGCAGACAAAAGTATCTGACACATTCCTAAGCCTGGAAAGATGGTACAAGTTTCAGAGTATGGACAGTGCCCCCACGTTGCAGCAATTGGCAGTAAAATGTTGCCAGTGTTCAGTTCCAGAACAACACACCCTTAACAAAGGCAGAGAGGTTTCAGACTTTGTTTTAGGTGTTAAGCCTATTTAAGCTTCCCAAGATTTGGGTCTCCTGAAAAGTCTCTTAGACCTTAAAATTGCAAAGAATTCCTCTGAGGTATTTAAAAGCAGAGGATGTAAATGGATATTTAGTGGAATTTTCTGCTTGTTTCTGAAATCCTGTTGGACAGGTATTTAAAAAAGCGTACCATAGCTAGACATGATCTACTCAAATAGGAGGCCATGGATTCCAGAGAATAATTCCACAGTTATGACAATTAGAATTTAAGAAGAATCACATTCACAGGGAAGAAATTTTACAGAAAGAGAGAGGGACTGAAGGTCAGCACTGAGTCTCTTGAACTAGTCAGGCAATGAATATGGTACTTTGTGAAGGACCCAGGTATCTCTTAACAGATGATGTGCACTGACCTTTCTAGAGCTGCCTTCCACAGAGATGGGTTTCAGGAGGTTGTTGAAGGTCATGGTGTAGTTCTTCCCATTCAGATTCTTCACTAGCAGATCAAACGACCTGGGACCAGAAAACAGAGGTCACAAATATTGCAATCACTGCAAAACTACTGAGCCTTGCCACCAAAAACAACGTCAAAAAATACATCAGGCATATTCCTTGAGAAAGCGTATCAACAGGCTTGAATTACTTTCTTCCCAGTGCTTTCAAATCTTCAGTTGGATTTAATACTGTGGATTTAAACTGACCTATCCAGACTTGCCGACAAACTGAGACCTTCAGGGGGTTCATTCTACCTCACTGAACTCCTACAACCTTGTAAAGGCAGATTTATTTCATGTACACTTCCATTCTGTTACCATCAAAAAACAGGGCTAACATTGCATACCCTGGCAAGTGTGATGAGATGCAACAAGCATTTGTACAATGAAAATATCCTGATACCCTCTCAGGAAAGCTACACTTACATAGTGCTAAGTGGTAATAAAAGCTAATACCCCTCAGGGGTAAAAAAAAAAAAGCAGGTGGGGAGTAATGGCTGATCCAGAACAGCACTCAATGCATCCCTGCATTTCAAATGATGTTCTTCACCCATGCTTTCCTGTGCTGTGTGGTGCAACAAGGTGAACTCACCTCTCTGTGAAATTCACCTGCACATTCTCAGCTGGAAGCTTCTGGACTCCATTTAAAGAGATGTAAATCTTAATAAACTTATCTGACTGATCCCAACCTGCAATTGGAAAAAATAGATTAAGTTCTACCTTTCCTCCATGACCTGTGTGCATTTCATTCCAGCTCCCTCAAAGTCCCCTAGCAATTTGCAGGATCTCTGCCTTACCAAAATAATCTTCAGAGAGATAAGGGAAAGACATAAATTATTTGGGAATAATGTGACAGTAAAAAGAGGTCCTCACACATAGCCCTATTCCCTAATTCCTGCAAATTCTGAGCAAAACATACTTACCAGCTCAGACAGAGGAGAGTAACCCTGTCTGTGAGAGGGAGTCAGAGGCAGCTGTCTGCTTCTACTGCAGTTTCCTTGACCCACTTTTTCCCCTACTCCCTGCAGGACAAGTATCTTGAGCAATTACCTCTCCTTTCACTTACATGGCAGGCAGAAAAGCTAAAGCTCACTCATTCCTGCTAAGCACTGGGCAGCGAAAAATACTAGTAGGTACATGCCAGGGATCCTTAACGCATCCCACCCCTACTATCACACAAACAGAACTAGTACACCCTGTGGCTGGGACAGCATACGAGGCATGTGGAAGCATTTTCAGTGGGGTTTCCAATATGAAATAATCACTTAAGAAGCCTTCTTTATAATGCTAAGTGGCCACTGTAAGTCACACTAATGCTGTCATGCCTTCTCGTCAGAGACGGTGGAGCTCCAGTAAAGTGTTCAGAAAAACAAGCCTACCATAATTGTTTATTTTCACCGTGTACCCTCCCAGTGACATCTTTTCTTCCTCCACTGCATCTTTTGGCTTCGGTGGAGGCTGATTCTTGATTTCTAGCTCTAGCTTGTGTTTCTCTGTCATCAGGACATCACGAACCCGCTTCCTCGTGGCCTTTGTAAGCAATTCTTTTACTTCTTCCAAATCTTTCAGTAACTGGTGTAAAAAGAGGATCACACGTGCGTATTAGATACGGATACCTGTACTCTCGGTTCACGGCCGACCTCTTTCAGTGAGGACTTTCAGATTTCCCAGATGCAGCCGTTTCATTTCCTTCTAACCGTGAAGCCACCGATTCCTCACTCCCGCTCGCGTTCTACTTTCTCGGCCACTACACGTTTGAAGGTTTAACCTTCCACCCATTATAAAGCCCAGAGAAACCCAGAGGGTTCTGGTTCGCGCTCTAAGTGCGCAGCACCATCTCGGTGTGCACACCCGCAGCGCCCAGCAGACACCCAACCCGAGAGCTCCCTCCCTCCCAGCCGGCCGCCCCCCCGGCTCCCCGCAGCAGCCGCTCTACCGCCCCCCGCGCCGGTTCCTGTCAGAGCCCCGGGACACGCTGGGGGGGGCTCACCTCCTCGCGCGCTGCAGCCATGTCGCGTGCGGCAGCCCCCGGCAGCAGCGCCCACGGCCCCTCTGGAACCTTCCGGCCTCCCGCCCCGCCCACTCACCGCGCGAGCCCCGAGCGCGCCGCGGAAGTGACGCAATGCCGCCGCTCCCCGTGAGCCGGAACAGCTCTTCCCCCTCCCTCCCTCCCTCCCCTCCGCGCAGGCGCGGCCGTGGCCGAGGGGTGGAGCCTCGGGCCTCCCCACCTCCCCCAGGCCCGGTGCTGCTCGCGCCGCCCGCAGGGAGCGCCCCTGGCGGTGGCCGCGGCGCGTCCCGGGTCGGGAGGCGGTCGCTGAGGGGCGCCGCTCGGAAGGACCCCTTCCTTCCCGTCGCGGCGGAGGGGCCGGGCCGCTGAGCGAGCGCAGTGGTAACTGCTTTAGGGGAGGATCGGCACGATCTGCCCGAGCACCGCACCCTCGGTTGCAGTTGGTCAAGGTAAAAATATAGCGGGGTGCTTCTCACCACCGTTACCTCAGCGTCCTGGGCAACAGAAAAAACGAGTTTCTGCATCCCCAGGTGCCAGTCGGACCTTGAAATTTCACACAGGTGGAAAAAAAACCCCAAAACTAAAAAAGAAAAAACCCAAACAAATTGCGTCAGTCTTTCAGCAAGTAGGGAAGTGGGGGTGTCAGCATTTGTCTCCACATGTCTTTTATAAGCAATGGATTTGTCTCCAGATATCTTTTATAAGCAATGGAACCCAAGGCAGAATACAGCCCTTCAGCATTTAAAAAGTAGATTTCTCTGAAAGTGCCAGTTCTAACATCTGTTTTACCCAACTGAGGAATGACACCTAATTTGCTGATTTATGGCCTTAGATTGTTAACTTTTCTGAAGTGAATATCCAAGAATTAATTTGTAAAGATTAATAGCAAACCTGAAGCCAAGGACTTACGTTCAAGTCTGCGTTCCGCAAATCACTTTTAACAGACGTTGTCCAGAAGGGTTTATTATAACCCTCTGGTCCGGTGCTTCATGATTTGCACTTGAGAAAGGACCAGGAAAGATCTGCATAACTAACTCTGTGGTTGGTTGTAATTTCCACAGGACTTCAGCTTGTCCAGCATTTGAAGCTGGGCCAGTTGATTCTATATGGAAAATACAGTATGGTCAACTGGAATTTACTTCTGTGGTGTGGTCACTTTATTGGTTAAAGGCAGTTGCTTATTCAGAAATTGTTTCCTTGTGATCTTTGTTGAGCAGTCACCAAGACAAGAAAAAACGTTATGTGGGTTTTTTCTAGATACTGGTTTTGTAGTTTCTCCACTCTTAGTTGTGGCCTGATTGAGTGCTCATAGGTTTAGAATTTAAACTGGTATTGCTTTCTAATTTAATTTCTGTTTAGAGGAGAAAATGGTTTTGCTAATACATAAATGCATTGGTAAGAGAGCCTGTAATTTGCTTCTTTCTTGATATTTTTTTAAAACCAGTGCTTATGTTGTTTCCTTAGGAGCATTTCCATGCCTGTGGCACTTCCACTTGAGTGGCAGCTTCCACATGGAAGAGTTGTCTGTTGCATTGTAAAAACAGGTTCCACATGGCTCCCCTTTGCATAAAGCTGTAGTAGCATCTGCATCCTCCCCTGGCTGGAAACAGAAGACAGCCTGACAAAAACAGGTTGTCATCTTGGGTGCACCTGTACAAAGAGCACAGTGGCAGGGCTTCTCTTGGAGAAGAATCAGAAAAGATCCTGCATCCGGAAGGAGAAAAGGAGCTAGGTTAGAGTAAGTAGGAGTACTGAAACTCGGCTGAAAGATCCTGGTCTGGTCTCTCTGGCAAAGAAAATATAGTGCAGAGTGGTCTTCAGTGCTCTTCAGCTTGGGGAAGGGGTGGGGATGGAAGCATCTGAGAGGGTGTTGAAAGGCCTGTGGCCTTTTGTCTAGCAAGTAGTAGCCTTCCGCTTCTGTCTGCAGGAATTCATAGCAGCTGATGAAAACAGTCCTTGGATAGTGATGTGGAGGTAAAACAATACCAAATGTTATGTCTGGTAAATTTAATCTTCAGCTTTTCTCTCTCTTTGCCTTTGTATCTTCCCCTGAAGTGCTGTGTGCCTTTCCAGTTACCAGGGAATAATGGCTGTTGATCTTAATTAATAAAAAAGAAACCCTGCAGCAATTGCTCACATGGAAAATGGTTTTGTAAAGCATTTGAGTATTTTTGACGGCTGTAAATTCTGGTCTGCTCTGTTCTTGTTCAGCCATGTTTCTCTGTTAGGAGTCAGTTTTCAATTTCTTGCCGTGTCCTTGTGCTCCCTATGACCCTTCTGATAAGCATGCTGCCTCATGGCTCACTTTCGTATTTTTCTTGTGTACTCCAGGGAATCATGACGTCCTTAACAGTGGCTCCTGTTGCACCATGGCTGTGTATCAGTGACCTTCAAGAAAAGCTTATTTACCAGCGCATTCTCTGGGCTGGCAACCTCAGGCTAGAGTTTGAAGTGGAGGGCCAGGGTGACCCATTAGCTCTCTGGCATGGCGCCTGTATGTCAGACTTGAACAGGAGACCCCTTGGGAATGAGTACATCGTCCTAATGAACGGGTTAGAACTGGCTGTGTAGCACACATTTTGGACAGCTAGTCTGCCAAGTCTAATAGGGCTGCTTAGAAATGACCACCTTGAGCGACCTGTATAAAAAACCCTAGCACAGCAGCAGTTTATTATTACAAACAGATTGAAGCACCTTATTCCCATTTTGTATGCATTTCCATTTATTTTACAAGGCATTGTTCACACAATGATAACAAGGTACCAATCCAAACAATTCTGTAACAATTAAAAAAGTAAACATTTGTTGTGACCATGTACATTGAATTGCACTTTTAATACCAAGCATTACACTTATATTTCCATATTATACTTTATATAATACGTGGATTTGTTGCACAAGTACTGGTAGTATGGAGTTGTTCTCAGTTAAAAGTCTGATGTCGCTGTCATGCTCTTCTTTCCTAACTCTTTAGGATTTGCAAACTGGGACACACACAGATGACAAATGCAGCTCCAGATCTAGAAAACTTCATTGTAATGGAGCCAGAGCTTTGAAGCTGCTCTCTGGTTTCAATGTGCTAAAGTGAATTCATCTTGAATGGCAGGCACTGAGGGATTTGGACCATGCCTGATTAGACTCTTTTCTGCATTCACATGTCAGCTTTTCCCAGTTCAGAGAAGCCAGAAAATCTTCCATGGGAAAGCAGTAGTTCCCAAAGCTCAAGAGAGCTCCTGGCACAGGTTGGTATGGGCAGCAGTGCAAACCCAGGGATTACTGGAAGGGGGGAATTGGGATCTGGAGAAAAATCTGAGAATGTTTGCTCTCATTTGCATTGGTAGTACCATCCATGTATTATATAAAATACAAAAATAAGAGAAACTGGAAGGAAATTAGTACAGCCCAGGATTCTGGTGGTATCAAATCATAAATGAAATTTATGACACCAAATCCTTTTGATGTATTTATCCCCTTGTGATTCAGTTTCCTATATAGTATTCTATATATACGATATAGTTTTCCAAAGATACATATATATTCCTTCACAGGTTAAATAAAAGCAAGTCCCACTGAATCAGAAAATAAAAGGAAGTAATGTCCTAATTCTCTACCCATATCTTTTTGTCTTTTTCAGGTAAAAATAGCATGAAATACATTCAGTAGCAAAGCAGTTGGAATCCAGAAGTGGAGAACCCTGTATTCCTGGAGGATTAACCTTTACGTGTTAAGACATGATACTGAAATAAATTATGTAAACTTCTGACTTGGGTAAGGTGGGATCTTGATTAATGCAGAGCATTATTCATCCTGCTACAAATTCTTTGAATTTCCCAAACCCTATGGTTTGCTATGGATCAGCTCTGTTCTAAAGGCTGCTGTGATGTACACCCCACCTAACTTGAAAGATCCAAACTTGAGCTCTTCATTGTGTCTCCCCTCAGTATTATTACTTAGAAAGAGGTAACAGGACAGCTCCCAGTAAGATATTAGCAAAATAGACAGGAAAATAATATAGTTCAAGCCTTTGTGCTTGCAAGAACAACGTGACGACCGGTGCTGTGTTAACTCACAGCAGTGCCTTGGGTGTACACAGCATTACCTGTCTAGTGCAGCCAGCTGTTTGCACAGCAGCCCATTCTGCAGGGTTCAGCTGTAATAGGTGTGCTTGTCACTCAGAACAGTCCCCAGTCTTGAGGGAAACATCTCTGCCCTGATGTTCACATTCAGACAATAACACATACTAAGGTTTTCTCTCTAGCAGTTGGAAGAAAACTAGCATCGTAACATCAGAAGTGTGTCTGTTTTCAGTGCCAAAGGTATTTAGGCTTATCAGATCATGTAGAAGTATGCCAATTATCCCTGAGTCTAGCAGTAAATCAAAATAAGAGGTATAGTTTTCCCACACATATAAGTAGTTCCATGGATTTCAGTGCAACTACTTAACAAAAGATAGGGAACAGCCCTACCTTTATCCTGTGGAGAAAGCATGACTTACGTAGCTTCCAGGTTGTGATACTTCAGTGACAGTAAATTCAGATTTTTATGTACTCAAGGTCAATGGCATTGTGACTCTAAAGTCAATGGGATACTTCATGCTCTGTTGAGGGGCTGAATTCTTGTTTTTGACTTTCTATCTCCTTCTCTTGTAAATGACTTTTTGAGTTGTTTTTAACACAATGGCACAGATAAAAGCATCTAGCTTAAATTTTAAGAGCCAACTAAGAGAAGTCCTTTAAAATGTCCAACAAAGAAGAAAAACATTGCTTACCTATGTAAGCAATGTAACTTAGCTGTAGCAAATTATATACTAATTAATGGGCAGGACAAGGATGAGTTTGTCAGTTGGCAGTACTGACTACACAGCTGTCTCCCAAGACTGGTTTTACTGAACTTTAATGCATACGGACCTCGGAGATTTTGCAGTTTCTTGGATTAACAGCACACATGATATTTTCTATTTTATTGTTATTTTCTCTGGGGTACATTTGGAATTTTTAAGTGAAATACGTCCTATTACTTTAGAATATTAAGTTTGATTCACAAAGATAATACAAAATGAGTTCACAGAGGTACCATGTAACTAAATCAGCCTTGCTTCATTTCTCCTGTAAAGTGTTACAGTCAAAGTAAAAACAATTGCTTTTTAAACTGAAAAAAGTACTCTCCCCTCTCCCCGCACATTGGGCATATCAGGAACAGATTAGAATCCAACAAGATAAAACAGTTGTACTAAAAAAATTCTTTGGAGGTTTAACCCCAATCAAAGTAAAGACTTTATTGAGAACTGTGCATTCTCAATAAAATTAAAAAATAAGATTTAGTTCCACACATATATTTATAAAATTCAAATTACTTTTAATGTAAGTTTGATGTGGATACATAGTTTAATACTGACTTAGGAAAAGAAATATTAATCACTGCAGACTTACAAGCCATGTTAGCTGTTCCAGTGCCACACAAAAAAAAAAAGAGTTTCAGTGAGACTTTGATGATGTTTTCTGCTAAAAATCTGAACAACAAGCCAGCCATCCCTGACTGATCAGCTGGTCTGGCATACATGTGCACATAACTCTGTCACACGCTGCTGAAAAGGGCTAATTAAACCCCGTATTTGTTTTTCTCACAGGAAGCTAAGTTTCCCTATAGCATATATAGTCAGCAGGCAGAATTTTAGCTTGCCTGGTTTAATCCTGCAGTCTTGCTTCTTTCCTTGTTTCTGAATATAACTGCTTATTCATCAAGATAATGCCATAGAGTTAGTTTATTATTCTTTCAGTAGTTTTGAGAAGACTCATTTTCCATGTAAATACTACTCTTCCAAATACCACTGCTACAAACGCTACTTTGGGACTATAGATGGAAGGTGAAAGCAGTTCTTTGCTTTTATGTCACTGCCAAGAGTGATAACGCAGCTGTTGCCCTCAGAAACTGTTTTTGCTGATGTAAGCCAGCTTCCATTCTACAAGGTTTTGAAATCCTGGCTAGCAGGTAGCAAACATATTTTTGTCACAGAAACTCAACTTCCAAAGTCAGAGAGCAGCTACAAAGAGAAAGATGATGTTGTGTCAAAGTGAGTTCCATGGGACATGGTGAGCTTATTTAACAGTTCTTTTTTTGCTGAACTGGGGAAGTCCCACTCCCACAATCCACTTGCAGTCATTGCACCCTTTGAGATTATTTAACTCATTAATGTGTCAAAAGACTAACCAAAAGGGGAAAAATCCACCCCACACCTTTTTTTGTTTGGTTGGTTTTAATCGTCTCTAGTTAAGTGCCATAACAAGGACAAGGGACATGACTGTACAACAGGGAGTTGGAGTGGTGAGTTCTTTGAGCAGAAGTGAGCTGTTACGTTAAGTCATCTGCTCAGGGAATCACAGTCTTACCCATTTATTTTTTTATTATTACTGCACATTTTCAATCAAGGTTTTAAATTCACTTTTAAGAATGATTTAAAATAAATGAGAAATTTGGACACTTGTCAAACCATCAGTGTCACTCATCGGCACAGTACTCTCAAATGTAACAATCAGATGTTCACCAAGTATTCTTAAATGTCACTTCATATTTATTATGCAGTTCATTTTGAGCGTGAAGTGGAACTGGTAAATGAATGACTAATGCTAGGCTTAGACAGTTATGAGAACAGAAACATTTATGCAAATATCATTAGCAAGAAAGTGACCAGGGAAAAAGATCTTTGTTCATATTTGCAAAAGAAATTCGTTTTGCGTTTTCACCCCTTTTTTTCTCACTACATTAATGGTTCCAGATAATCACTGTTCTTGCAGGTACATTTTCAAATATTAATTTTTTTAGCCCCTTACCCTTAAAAGAGAAAATTTCATTGCAGGATTGTGTCCAGGTAGTGATTCTATTTTGATCTCTACTTCAAACTGCTGACTGCCTTTCAGAATCATTCCTTTGGCACAGGTAATATTTATACTACCCTGTTTAAAATAATTCAGAATTATGCTTGACAACAAAGCACAAGATGGGTATCATTAAATTTTATTGTACAAAACTGACAAGATATGGCATTACTTAGAATTAAAAAAAAAAAACAGAACTAATGTCCCTGGAACAATTCTGAAAATGGAACAATTAATACACAATCTTTAGTCCAGCAGTGATATTTACCTGCAAGACCTTCTTTAGACATGACAGATATAATTAAAAAAATACTCCATCAGTTCAAGCAATAGTTTAATTTTACATGAAATAAGTATTTCTATAAACACTTTATGTTCAGTCAAAACAAATGCTTTTGGATTTTCTTACCTTAAGAGCTAAAAAACAACCAGGTAAGTTTGGGAATCATCAGAGAAGTCTGCCCCATGGGAAAGTCTAGGTTTTGTATTCCACTTGAAAATGTTTGTGTTTATAAAAATAAGTAATACCAACACAGCATTTCCTAAGTAGCAAACAGATCTTGACACTGCAGTGTCTTATCAGTGCAGCATAAACATTTTGGGGTTGTTTTTTTTTTTTGAGACCTCATTTCTGTGTCAAATTCAGAATTTGAATATAGACCCATTACTGTTACTCATAAAACCTACCCCTTATTTCACAGGATATACGAAAGGTCTAACCTATGCAAGGTCTTCACTCTGCTTCAGGGCAAAAAAATCAAATAAACGCTGAACAATTTTCCCTTTATCCCAGTGGAAAGAATTATTTCTTGCAAACTGTAGTATAAACTAAAAATAAAAAGGGAACTAGATAACTTTATGTTAAATTCCAGTTCAGTTGTCAATAGCCTTCACACAACAGTGCTACAAGGAACTGCACTACTTGCATTTCTGAAGAAAAAAAACAATCAGAACTAAGAACTTATCAGGGAAGCTCATAAACAATTGTGCCAAGAGAGCACAAGACTATCTTTGCTATGGCCTAAGCTTTACAAAAAGTGCTTCTCTGCAGGACACAGTCACTGCGATAAACTTCTGAGATGGTCCCAGGGTGTAAGCTATCCTAAGACACCGGCACACACACTGGTGATTATGACACTGTGCTTTCTATGAAGAGATTATGCTTCAGTACTTTACATTTTCCATTCTCTCTCTTCCTCCAGAGGAAAAAACCTTCTATGCAAGATAAAAATAATTTTGAATAATTAGTTGTGTATTAAAGACCTAGTTTTGAAGTATTTATTTAACATCTAGTCATATAAAATAAAGTGTAAAAGTATGAAGGTATTACACGTGGCTTTCAGCAAGGCAGTTTGGGAAGTAAGAATTCAACATAAACCAGGAATTATTTTTCCCCCCTCTGAAAACGGTCACATCAGAATGAATGAAAAACACCGAAGAATTTCACTTCAAGCCTGCACTCCTGCCTTTTGTCCTTTCTCCAAGAGGAGAGACCACTGGAAGAATCCTCCAGGGTTCAGCTGTGTTGTTCTTTGTGCTCTTGTTTGGGGTCTGTCGGGAACTATGTACTGCTCTCTTTCGGTGGCAGGGACGGCTGAGACTGCTGTGGTGGCTGTGTGCCTGTTGCCGTTTTGATAGAGTTCAGGGTTTTGCTAAACCAAGAGTTTTTGGCAGCTTGGATTTCATTCATAAGGGCTCCTCTCTGGTGCTCCAGCTCCTACAAAAGCAGAATAGTCAGAACTGATCAAAACCCAGGTAATTAACAACAAAGCATCTTCAAACTCAGTCCCTGCAATCCAGCACTTCCTTGCAACCTCCCAGGCACTGGGGAGAGAAGGCAGATTGAAATTGCAGAAACAGCAGAAGATATTTAGATATAAAAATCTCATTT